AGCAGCTATGTCAAGCATTAGGACACTTAAGTAAGTAGCCTCACTCAGTCGCATTGGAGATGTAGGTCAGATGGCAGACAATTTGAGACATTTTTCTATGAATCTATTTAACCATAGTATATTAGCCTCAAATTCAATCATAGTGGGATTGAATTTAATGGTTAAGTACTATGCTTGAAGGCCCACGTCTTGAGTTAATTAATAAACCTAATTATTTAGGTAGTAGTAAGCCTAGCATATATTTAAATCATTATGATATCATGAATAGGGAGACCTTTAATTTTGAAGCTTTAAAATTGTTATTTATGATTTGAATGTCACATTGAAAACTAGCGGTTGAGTTACCGTACTGTGACTGTACTCATCTAGCCTACTGTTGTAATTCACTTACTCAGCTACCCTCAGCAGTTATGAGTATGAATATGATTTAAGGGTACCGGTAGTATGTTTCAGTGAAAAATATTAATAACGACTCAATAATAATAAAGTTTATAAAGACAATATGATGAGTTAACAGCCCGCATATTTAATTTTGAAGTAATTGTGGTGTACTTAGGAAAAACATGGAACTATAGACCTGCGTACACTGCTGCAAAAAATTACCATTGGCCTGTCTTGCAATATGACCATTACACATGATCTTGTGTGGTTGAGAAAATGCCAGAAGACATCATATTAGTACACAGCTGCAAAAAATTACCATTGGCCTGGCCTTACGATATGACCGTTACATATGATCTTGTATCATCATCATCATCGCCTGTCGTCCCGTCTGGGGCATAGGCCACAAACAAAGGCTCTCCAGGCATCCCGGTCTTGGGCAAGTCTCTCCAACTGTCCCCAGTTGTGCCCACTCTTTTTGATGTCTGCCTCCAGTTCCCTTCTCCAAGTTGTTTTGGGTCGACCTCTTTTTCTCTTACCCTGGGGGTTCCAAGTCAGGGCTTGTCTCGTGATACTTGATGCGGGCTTTCTGAGGGTGTGGCCAATCCATCTCCATCTGCGCTGGCAGATTAACTCTTCCACTGGTTCTTGTTGTGTGCGCCGCCAGAGATCCTCGTTGGTGATGACGGTGGGCCAGCGGATTCGTAAAATCGTTCGGAGACATGAGTTGATAAAGGTCTGTAGCTTTTT